CTTTATTAAATTAGAAATCATTCGAGAAAAGTATTTAATAATTAATATAATATACTTTTACTAGATATATAAATAACAAGAAATTACAGAAGTTAAATAGATTAAGAAAGAATTGAATTCTGCCGATTCTATAATAAAATTAAAGCTAATAAATACCCTCAAGTACCTAATTAATATAAATACTATATAATTAAATATAGAGAAATAAATTAAATATAAATAAAACAAGAAATAAATATATAGAATAAAAGAATATTATAAGAGGAGAAGTTATATATAAAAGGCTATAGCCTTTAGTATATAACCAAAACCTTAAAAGAAATATAGATATATAAAATATTTGAGAAAATCTAGTATTAGGCCGAATTAGGGAATTTATATATAATTAGAGGGAAGTACTATTTTTCGCGTTTTTTAAAGAAGTTCTAGTATTAGTATAGCTATAATTATTAATAGTTATATAATATAGTTATATAATATAAAGATAACTAGAAATAACGAAATATAGGTAATAGGCAATAATTATATAACCTTATATTATATAAATAACTCGACTAGTAGCTAGTTTTCTTTAGGATTAGTAGATTTAGGAATTATATATTAATACTATAATACTATAATTCTTATTTCTAAATAATAATAATATTATATATTACTAGTAAACTAATAATAACTAATTAAAATAATTAATAAAAAGAAATATTAGTTATAAAATAAGTAAGAAATCCGAATATAATAAGAAAAAAATAGTTTAGATAATAAATTTTCTAATAAATTAGCTAATATTTCTTATATTTTAAAGTTAAAATTAAATAGAAAAAAAGTAAGAATATTATAAAATTAAAAATTAATAAAAACAAAAGCAAGAATAATAAAGATAATAACTTTTCTAATAAATTAATTAAGATTATTATTTTTAAGTTAAAGTAAAAAAGAAAAATAATAAGCTAAAATAATTATTTAATAAATTCAATTATATTTAAAATAAAGTATTATTAAAAAAGAAATAATTAGTTATATTTTCTTAAAATAAAGCTTATTATTATATATCTAATATTATAAAGATTAATAAATTTCCTTAAAATAATAATTTATATAAATTTCTTAAATATATAAATAATATTTATATTATAACTTAAAAGTATAAAATAAAGAAAATTAATAAGAAATATAATAAGAAAGCCGGGAAAATTATTTAGAAAAAGACTATAATTATAATTTTATTAAATATAATATCTTTTATATTTTTATTTAATTTGAACTTAAAACTAATTATTTTATTTATTTAGTATAAATATAAAATATTATTATTAACTAAGAAATTAAAATATAAGTATAATAAGCTAATTATTTAAATATTTTTAATATATAATAAAGTTCAAATAATTCTTATTAAGAAAATCAAATATAAAAATATTATATATTTATTATACTTATAATATATTCTTTAGTCTAGTAAATATATTTAGTAACTTTGGCTTCTTTAGCCAAAATTACTTATTATATAAATTACTTTTATATTAGATTTAGTAATAAGTAATTATTTTATAGAATTTTCTATTTATATAAGTTTTCTTTATTTGTTTTTATATTTTTCTAGTATTTTAAATATATTTTCTTTTATTTTTTTTATATAAGAATATATAAAGTTCTTAGAAATAGTATTTATTAATAAATAGAAAATAATATAAGTAATAATTATTATAAAACTAATATATATTTCTTATATATTTTCGAATTATAAATAATTTTTAATACTTATTTTATTTTAATAATTATATTAATATTACTAATTTATTATATAAAATAATAATTATTAAAAAGATTTAAAAATATATTAAATACGAATTATTTTTATTATTAATATATTTGAAAATAAAATTAAAAGAAGTTAATAAAAACAGTTTTATTAATTATAAATTAAAAAGATAAATACTTTTTATTTTAAATTATTTATTAAAAGTATAAGATTAATTAATTACTTGTCTTAATTATTATTATATTAATAGCTCGAGCTATAGCTTTAAATATTAAAGCTATACTAAATTATTTATATAACTTTCTTTATTTTTAAGACTTAATTTTTACTTTATTATAAGTTATTTAAAAAATCTAATTTATATTTTAAAGCTTTATATATTATTATATAAAAGCTAATTATATAATATATTAAAAGCTTTTCAATTATAATATCTTATATAATAATTTATTTAAAGAATAGTTTATTAAATATTTAAATATTAATTATAAAAGTAATTTATAAAATCGCAAATTAATTCTTAATATAGTTTTTACTTTATTAAATAATATAATTAGCTAGGCTAGTATTAAGCAAAAACTATTATTAATACGAAATATATTGCCTTAATATTTATAATTAAAGAAGTCTTATAACTAAAGTAATTATTTAAGAAAATCTCGATTTTTATTTATTTAATTATAATAAAAACAAATCTTTAAAATACTTTAAATTTAGCTATAAATACTTGTTTTTTATTATAAAAAAAGCAAATATACTAATATTAAATATTACTTTATTAGATTATATTAATATTAAAAATAATAATTTCAAATATATTTTTATTAAATTATTCTTTAAACTTGCTTTTAAAAAGCTATAATTAAAGCTAGATATTATAAGTCTTATTAATATTAAATCTCGGTTATAAGAAAGAAATATATTAAACTAATATATTAGCTTAGCTAGCTTATTATTTCTTCTAGTATTAGATTTAATTACTATAATAGTCTTCTTTGTTTTTATTTATAATACATTACTTATAAAGCTTATTAATGCTTACTAATAGAGATAAGAACGAGTCTTTGGATTCCTTTCCCTCTCTTTTTAGAACTCACTCCGCTTGTACTTCAGTTATTTAGACCATGTCAATCATTAATATTATTGTCTTTGCACCTCCATATTGCTCCAGCGCAATATTGCGCTTTCCTTCTCCAGCCTAGTCACAGTTCCCAATACATCAGCTGCCGCCAACTCTTTATAATGATTCTGCCTCATGTTTGACTTTTCCAACTCAAACAGCTTTTTCTCGGCAACCTTTGCGAAATCCTCGGCCTTTTTTAAGGCGATTTTCATTTCCTACATCCCCAGATTCATGCTCCGAGCTTGATTGTTCTGGTATCTTCGAGCAATTTCAAGTTGGCGATTGCAGTCTTCGAGGTTAATGGTCTCCATCGCACCGGTGTCGATCCCAGAAGCTGAGCAGCGACTTCTGGGCAGAATTGGACCATCCAAGATAGTTACTAAGACCGTTAGTTATTGGAGGTAGCCCTCTCGCTCACTAGATGGTTCCAATAATAGTGGTCCCTAGAACTATCAAATTTCCAACACATTTGTTTAGTAATACCGGATCTTTAAGTAGAGAGCTGAGTAATAGTATTCTTTCTTTTATTTATTCTCCTTCTTTTTTTTCTCTTCTTATTATTTTATTTCACTTTTAGTAAATTTATTTATTTTTGAGAAATATTAAAAGATATTACTAAATTACTTTAATATAATTTAAGTATAAGTAATTTAACTTTATATTTATTACAGATTATCTTTTATTAATAATTATAGAATAGAAGCTAAAGTCAAATCTATATCTTAACTCTCTAAAAGATTAGCTAAAAAAGAGCTTAAATTAGTTTTTTTTAAATTTTAGTAATAGGAAATAATTTGAAAAATATATTAAGCTTTATAAAACTTCTTTAAAATATTACTTAGTTTTATAATATATAATTATAATAAGATATTAAATACTTAATTTTAATTTTTTTTCTTTATTAAATAATAGTATCTTATTCTTTGAAATACTAAATCTTATTAATATCTAGTTAATATTTATTAAACTATTTCTTTTATAATAAAAACAACTTTTATATTTATAAATAAGTACTTTTATTTTCGAGTTATTTTAATTAGAAAAACCTTAATATATTTTTATTAATAATTAATATTATTTAATATAAATATTTAATATAATAAAGATTAAAATTTAAAATCTTTAATATAATTACTTTAAATTTATATACTTTTTAAAGGTTTAGCTTATTAGATAATATTATTTATATAATACAACTTTTATATACTTTAAAAGAATATTATATTAAAGTACTAGTATTTATTAATTACTAGTAAAATAAAAATAAAATATTAAAACTTCTTAAAAATTAAATTAGTATTTATAAATTATTAATAAAATAAATATACTAGTTATAATAATACTAGCTAATATTATAAGAAATAAGCTATTACTTAATTAGTTTTACTTGCCTAGTTAGTATTTTAATAGTTTTAGTTATTTTAATAAATATTTCTTTTCTTTTATTATTTTTTTCTTTTTTCTTTCTTTTTCTTTTTTCTTTCTTTTTCTTTTTTCTTTCAGCTTTATATTTTATATAACACGAAATAAATATCTTTATACTTTATTTTAATTACTTTAACTTTATTATTATATTAGTATTTATTAATTATTAATAAAATAAATATACTAATATTAAAACTCTTAAAAATTATAATTTCTTATATTAGTATTTCTTATATATTAGTACTTATATAATAAATAATATTATAACTAATTTACTTTAAATTATTTTTAGAATTTTTAGTATTATAATTATACTTTAAAGTAATTATATTTAAAGTAAAATATTTTAATATATTATAAGAAAATATCTATATCTTATTTATACTTTAAGTTAAAGTAATCTAAATTCTATTATTATAATTTAAATTACTTTAGCTTATAATATATAAATTTAGTCTAATAAAACTTAAAGTAAGCAAAAATTTTATATTGAAACCTTAATTACTTTCTAAATAATTTAAAAAATTATTTTATATCTTTAAAGTATTATATTTCTAATTAAATATATATTTTATTTATTTTTATAATAATATAATACTCTTATAAGTACTAATTTCGAGAGCTAAGAAGGCTCTAGTAATTTAATATAAGATAATACTTTAATTTATATATAGAAAGTGCAAGAGTACTCAGGAGTATAGTTACTTATTCTAGGGCTAATATATGCAATTCTATTTTTAGAACTCTTTAGTAACTGCCGCATAATAGACTCGATGACATTATATCACAAATTTTTTCTATGAGAAACCAACTAAGGGGGAAAGTGTCAAAGACCTAGTCTGTGTGTCCCGTATCCACGTGCAAACAACGCCTGCCAAATCAGAAGTCCTACAGTCCGAGACAATTCCGGTGTTTCTATGAAATACAAGACTCTTAAGCATTAGGTGTCAAATCCATCTTGTGAGCCGGAAGGTGATTCGCACGGTGTTTTGTCTACGTTCACTGGATTCCCGTTGTCGTCGAACCGGAGGGATTGCCACCAGTTATCCTCCGCGAAGACATTCAGGACAGAGGACCCACCTACTGCACACGAACTCGCGGAGCCTTTCCACTCTAGCACGATCTTGCCGAAGGCCCTGTCTTCGGTCCAGTCACCCTGGGCGCCCGCGTAGTTGTATCCAATGTTCAGAATCGAGGCCGTGGGGAAGGCCGCGAGGATGGCGCCATTGATGCTGTCAGGTCCCGTGATTCTCGCGGGGTAATAGAATGCACTTGTTGACCCGGCAGCAGCAGGTGTGAAGATGACACAGAATGGGGTCGCTCCGAGCTGGGCTTTGTACTGGTTGATGGCGTCGTCGATTGGGTCCATCACATGAATGGAGAAATCGGTATCCGCCGCGGCGCCTGATGCCCACGTGTTAGGTACACCGTTGGACTGACGAAAGTGAGCAAAGATGCAAAGTTGGCCAGGTGCCGAGCACTGCGATATCCGTCAATGAATGAACCAATGAGAAGCACGGCCAAATAGGTTATAGTAGACTGACCATCACTACTGCTGTACACCCATAGCATGTGCCTGTCGTCATGACGACGGTTGTAGCAGGTGTGATAGCGAAATTTACAAATATGTTGTTGACAGGGACCTTGAATTGGGTATTCCTCCACAGACTGAGGACCATGTCCCCTTGGCCGGGCTCTGGGGCCGGTGGGGTGCCGACACGTTTTCTCAAGGCATTTGCGGTGCCATTCGTTTCCCCGAGGTCAAAGACCTCCCGCCCATAAACACCATTTATGTTCCATGGCAACCTTGTCAAGGCAATTGCTTCAAGCCGGAGGAGTTCATTGTGGAAATCCTGGCGGGCAGCGGTTCCGCTATGTGCTCTTGAAGCTCTGTCAGCCTTGAATTGGTGATAAAATAGGACTTAAAACTACCTTTCAACACCTCGACAGCTCGAAAGGGCGAAGAGATAGAACAGGAGGAGATAGGGGATGCCCCATGGCTTCGACATTTTGTTAGATTTGCACTCGAAAAGAACTTAGTGGGCTAGAGGAGCGCCTGCAATTGCAAAGCAACTCGTCGGTGCTGGTTGCTTTGGATAACGCCTAGATGGGCTCGAAAGTGCTTTCAACTTATAAACAAGTCTCGCAAGTCAGATGTGGTTTAGAGAGTCTTCCAAAGCGAAGAAGTCAACGCTACCAATACCTTGAATTTACATCTAGCACAATCATTTATAAAGAAGTGGCGTGTCCAACGAGAACTTCGCGAAAAAGATGTTGGAACTAGATGCAGGAACTAGGCCGTGCATCCGCAGCGTTGGTGATGTTTCGGATTGGATCCTCTTTGACTAAATCTAGGTTATTCGTTGTATCTGAAGCCAGCATAGCCTGAACTTCATTAAATGGTGTTAGAGCTAGATGCAGGAACAGCGCCGCGATCTGCAGCCTTGTCAATGTGTTAGGTTAGATCCTTTGTGACTAAATCTGGGATATTGGTTGTATCTGAAGCCAGCATAGCCCGAGCTTCATTAAAATGACGCTGGACCTAGATTAGATGCAGGAACCACGCCGTGCATCTGCAGCCTTGTCAATGTGTCAGGTTGAATCCTTTGGGTGTAGATCTAGATTATTTCGCGGGTATCTGAAGCCAGCATCAGCCGGCATTGGGGGCGCCTCGGGTCTGCTGATGCCCACTAATCAAGGCTGCTCGAATCTGGCGAATCAGCTTTCCAAATTTCCACGAATATGGACGGACGGCCTCGAAAAGAACCGTCCATTTGCTCAGAAGCTAGGGACACCAAAATCTCTCAGGTGAAAATTGCGCATCGCGACACCACAACCCCCAAATCCTACAGTTTCCGGTCAGTGAAACAGATAGGAAGCCAGAATACCCTCTACTTGTGTTTTTGTAATGGTGAAATTGTACAATGTTTTATTACGATTTCTTTAATGCAGGTGCTGATGTCTCGCCTCGCGAAATGGACGGTTTTCAAAGCCGGCGCTGTCCGCCTTCGTATCTGTCAGGCTGCAGTGCGGCATGAACACATGAAACATGAAACAGGATGAGGCAGTTGCTGGTTGGGGTCTACAGCAGTGATGTGGTGGGGCCAAGGCTACACTTTCTTCGCCGAAGCCCTATTTATAGAGGTGCCTCTTCCTCCTTTCATTCCAACTTTTGACCGTACTCGAGTACACCGGCAGCGCCATCGGAAAACCAACACGGAGCCCAGCAGCATTTCGCAACCAATAACATTCACAGTCAATTGCACCTTCCTCTCTTGTACAACAGCCTTTCACGATGGAGGAGGCCTGCGCCGATGGAAATTTAGAATTGGTGAAGGAATCCTTCAAGAGCTTACTTCTTAGCTCCGATGGCACCATCCCTCTGACGGATAGGGTTATGCCAGGAGGCGCGGAGGTGATCCAGAGGTCTGCCTGCATTGCCGCACGACACGGCCACACAGCCATCTTCTCATTCCTACTGAATCAGGGAGCCCCAATAAACGCAGTAGTCGCAGGGTCGGCATTCGAGGGAAATAATGCAGAGCTGTGTCAAGCGCTGCTCAATCATGGATGGGAGCCACGAGCTGGAGAGGTCCCTAATCGGTCTGTTGAATTCTTTTTATGATGTGAAGTGTCATACTAATCTTAATACAGAAGCATACTAGGCAACGAGATCTCCTTGCGTTGGTTGCTCGAACATGGATGGAATCCCAACCTTTACGGCCATGATGATATCCATCCACTGACCGTTGCCGCAGCATCTTTCCCGCCCTCGGTTGTCAAAATCCTTCTCGACCACGGCGTTTCCACGCGGGGTACCCAAGCTATGCACGCTGCAGCCTCCGTAGCTGCCGTTGACCCAACGCGATTCGAGGTTCTTGATCTTCTTTTAGAGTACGACGGAGACGTTGACGAGATGGAGGTCGATCCTAAAGGACGAAAGACCCACCGTCAGAGAACAGGCTTCACGGGCACACCACTCCATCACGCCGTCAAAGCCAACGGCATAGAGGCTGTGAAATATCTCTTGGCAAGGGGCGCCTCCCCAACGGCCCCGAGCTGGTCAGGCCAAAGCGCACTAGAGGTGGCTGAAAGAAGTGGAAAAACCAAAATAGCTGAAATTATTAGGAGTTCGCTTTAACCTGACTCTTTCCGTCTCCCCTGGTAGCACTTTCACGGCACGGTCCCGCCTGGCGCTCTATAATCGTGAAAGTTAATTTAAAGAACGCTCTACCGCCATTGAGAGGGATATAAGTGCTCGCCCTTCCACGCTGACGATGCTATCTTTCCAGGCTCGCGGCCAACCACTCCAGACTCTTCATCTATCGTCTTCGGAGTGACATACAATTAGATTATGAGACATCCTAACTTTCCGAACCTGACAACATCATCACAATGAAAACTTCATCAGCTATTCTTGCCTTCTTAGTTACTGGCACTCTCGGTGGAGTGCTTGCTCCCACACCACTAGCGACTATAGTGGTTCGAAGTGCACTTCCCACTTGCAGCTGGAATCCAACGACACAGGACCCAGGCACATGCTCTGCAGACGTCCCTACCATGTACACGACAGCACCCGCAGCCACCACCACTGCTCCCGCTAATACAAACGTGGCTTGCACCTATCATGAGTCGGATCCAGATGAGGGCATTGACAGGCCCTACTGTGTCTGCACCTCCGGCAAGTCTACGGAGACGGCACCCTTGATAAGCATCGCATCTCCCACGATATACAGCCAGAGCTGCGAATACAGTACCTGGCCAGGTGCCACCACTTCGATATCGACGGATCTTCCCCCGCCGAGCACCAACAGCAAGGCCTGCATGGTTTGCACTCCCTATGCCATCAACGAGGATAACTGCAATACCATCCCGAATTGCTCGCCACAGATTGCCGTAGCTACTGTCACTGTGGGCAGTGCTCCCGTGCACGTGGGCACCTTGACGGGCGTGGCCCTTTACACAGCTGTCTCTAATGCTCTCGAATCGCTCTGTCCTCCCGTCACACAGACAACCACCTCAACGCAGTGCAGCGAGACCGGGCAGGCCGAAATTGGCGGCGTCCCATATGTCGACCCTGGCGAGTCACTAGACTCTGGATCCCTCATCGTCAAAGTGCCCACGAGCGGGTACAACCTCACCTCACTTCGTGACGCCATGATCGCGTCAATTGCACTGTCGATCCAGACCTCGGCCACTGGCAAGAACTGCTTCAACGTGACCTACGAGGTAGAAGAGCTGAAGCGCCGCGACGGCCTCCTGGGCTGGGTCGACGAGGCGCTGAGGACCTCGCGCCGTTTGCTCGGCTTCCGGGATCATCTCGCTCCAAGGGATCGCCCCTATCTGAGCACGGAGCATATGACAATGTGCAACGGGGCGTATTTCCATACCACGAACTACTATGACCCGTTCTGGCGGACGGCACCGCAGCCAGGTCCGACCGATTTCATCAATGCACTGTTCACATTCGAGGCTTCGAACAGCGATCAGTTCCTCTGCGAGTTCATTGACATGCTGGTGGATGGGTTAACGGCGTTGGCTCCAGAATTTGCGGTTGAGGATGTGGAGCTCGAGGAAGGTATTGATACGCTGTGCTGCTTGGCGGATGGAGGATGTCAATTAGGGGACCACGCAAGCTGATGAACTGAATTTCAGTGTTTCAACGTTTTATGGTTGGAAATTTTAGGCTAAGAGATTTTGTTTTCCTTTCAAAGATGACAACTTGATCCCTGACCAGCTGAGAATTCTCATCTATCGTTGACAAAGGCGGCGGAGGTCACGGGATATAGAGGTCGGCAGCCTTTTAGTTATGTATAAATAAATAAGTAATTTGTACCCAGCAGCTTAACACGGGGGAGCTGTTTGAGATCCTCTGTATTGTGACTCACCTTAACTTACGTGAGAGTGGGCGTCTCGCCAATCAGAGGTAAATATAGTAGAGAATTTGTGATATAGCTATGTTAGTTTTAATTGGTTGTAAGCACAGCTTCAAATTGTTGACTCACATTTTGATTTTATTATATGAGCCAAGGAAGCTGTCAGTGCAAAGTATATCTATCTGTTGCGGCAGTAACATTGAGAGTGGAAAAGCAATACTAAGAAGGGGGGCAGCAACATTAAGATAGGGGCAGACAGTGTGATAGAGAGGACTGTTATTTCTATATTCGACAATTGTCGAGGATAGAACCAATCATGTTCAACAGTACCGCCTAATCAGATTACATTATTGGCTCGCTTAACCTTAATACCGACCGAAACTCTCAATTGCATCTACCTGCCTTTAACCCACAACAACATCACTAAGGTCGCGTCCTAATAATAACAACTAACCACCGCGAAGAATTTGACCCTGCACTGATCCGGGCAGGCTGCGTAGACCACGAGGTTGAATTCGAGAACGCCGCCCAGGAAGCAACCCAAGAGTTGTTCAAGAGGATGTACACTAACTCTACCCTTGTCACCGGAGCAGCTCTCAACCGCGTTGCTAAGCATGGCGAAAAGGAGAAGCCAGTGGATGAATGGAGCGCCGAGAATTTAAATCAGATGGGAAAAGAATTATCAAAGAAAGTTCCGGACAAGATGTTCTCTCCAGCCGAGATCCAGGGGTTTCTGTTGATGTGGAAGAAGGATCCGAGGAAGACGCTAAATGAGGTGGGCGCCTGGGTGGAGGGCATAAAGGAAATTAAGGAAATAGGGTCGACGCTGCTCCAGGTATAGTAGGAGAGGGGGACGTAGAAATATGCGCTGAGATGGGGAAGAAAGCAGGCAGACAAGAGAGGAAGAAGAAAGTAATGGTGAATTTGAGTTAACATTCTGAATGGCAAGTAGAAGGATGATATGAGCTGGAGTTCAGATTTTCTTATTTCTTTTATATCAAGTGGCAGCTTTTTGCATTTTAGGGAACTCTTCAACAGAGTTTCTGAAAGAAAGAAAGCGGCGGTAAGACTAGGAGATTTCTACCGGTATAGTATCCCCGGTAGATTCCTACTAGTCTAGGAAATATCTCGGAAAGAGGAAGGCGGACTTGCAAGACCAATAGGCTTCTACCAGACTTAAAAAATCTAGGAAAAAGGAAGGCGGATCTGTATGACCAGTAGATTTCTACCGGTCTTGGAAACATGGTGGACGTGGAGGAAATCGTATACGGCTATCCAATTACAACAGAGCCGATCAAGTTATATAGGAAAAAACATTGTGTTACTTTGTTTGAAACGTGATTGGCTATAAATGCGCCCGCAGAATGCTGGTAGTGACAAGAATCGCTTACTCGCAAATGCGTTTGCCAATCACTTGTCACTGCTCCCAAACGGGCGCCTACAACGCCAGTTAAGGAAGCAACCCACTCGGGAATTAAAAGGTAAAATTCTCTCATCTGTTTTTCGTTCCGCAAAAGCATAAAGGTGGACCATTGCATTGCTGTTCGAAAATTCGCAAGTCGCAAACCCCGTATTAAGAGCAAACTTTCCATTTCACGTTCTCCGAAATGGCCACCGAAACCTAAATTCCAGTTTTTAGAATGTTCGTCTTAAGCGTTCTTTGGGGGATTTTCCGGTATTTTGCTATGTGAGCTTAGAATACTTTGAGTACCGTGTGCCTCACTTTCTTAATCTTCAAAGAATAATCTCTCTTATATAACTATTAAGCCACTCAAAAGAAGAAGTAAAAGATTAAGCAAAACTAAGTCTATCTTGATTAATAAGGTTCACAAGCTGAGAGAGTTCTATAATATTAATATAGCCCTCATTATTCGTAATAATTAAACTGGCCTTTATATTATAACTAGTTTATAAACACTATATATTAGCTATTATTTAAAGAGTAAATTGCAAAGTTTTTAATTTAAAAAAAAGTTATTTATTTATTTTCCTTGAATTTGTTATCTTTAAAAAGTTTTATATAATTAGTTTTAAATCAGATTATTCTTTTATTTATATTTATAATAGCTTTAACTAATTTATTTTATTTAAACTAGTTTTATTATTATAAAAAGCAATTAGTGTAATATTTAGTAATAGTTTTAATTGCCAAAAATTAATTATTATATATTCTATAAAAAAGCTATTTTAATATCTCTTTATTATATTTTATATTTAAGGCCTTATAATTTAATAAATATAAGCTTAAATATATAATTGACTTTATAATAGCACTTTTACTTTATATTAATTACTTTATTATATACTTACTACCCTTTACAAAAATAAAGAATAAAAGAAATTATAATTCCTTATAAGAGTAGAATATGAAAAATTATAGCCGGACTGATTTATCTTAAGCAGTCTTCCTTCCTGCTTCCTTAGAATGCAAAATTTGAGTATTATCGATTCCTTTCCGACGCAGACGTCCCACTGTCCGCCACCATCGCCTTAGCACGGACAGTATTCTCCGTTTCTCTCTCTTCGGATCCGCTCTTCCCCTGATAATGTCACTCTTTTCTGGCAGTTTAACGTCTCGCAAAGTGGTGAATGAACAGATTCTCGCTCCATATTCTTCCGTGTCAATGATGCCCCATCTGACGGGAAGCCGCCACGCATCTATGTCCTTGTCCGGTCGATGACAGTTGGCACTAATTGCTGCGCTGCAGCTAACAACCAGAGGCATTGCTGATTTTGCCGGGAATTTCTTCACAATTCCAATGACTATAAGTAAGAGGGGAATGAGAGAGCCAACAAGGAACCCTACAACGTGGTTAGTAAACTGTTTGCAAGTAATGGGTAGATAATAATAGTGGGGAAAGGGGGAGTACCAAAGATGCATGGCATAATACTAAAGCCAGAGGTAGTAATATGAGCATGATACGTGTTGTATAGGTTCCAGTCCTGTATGACGATCCCGATGACAAATGTAGCCTGGGACAGGAGCCAATGCTCGGCGGCAAATATTGCCATTATGGGGAGGCTATAACGGAGCGGCATCGATATGAAGTAACTGGATCGTTGAATTCCAACAGGTGCAGATACACGTAGAGTCTTTCTCCTTGTACCAAAACCTCTCCACTCGTTTGCAATTATGAGGCACGACAAAATTGAATTAAGTGCAATATACAAGTACGAGACCAGAACTTGCCAGATATTGACACAAATAATGTTTGCCAATACCTGGAAAGAACGTTAGTTACTCAATGAAGCTTGGTATTTAAAGCAGGTAAAAAGGAGTATCCGCTCACAGTTGTAGGTTGGTGCCAGAATTTAATAACTTCAACAAGACTGGGAGCACCGAATCCAAGACCCCATAAAGCTGATAGGGTCATGTGAGGTGTGCTTTCGTGGATGGCTTTAAATCCATCGATTATCAATATCAGAGCAGCAAGAAGAACCACAAACACCCTACGGAAATAAAAATCAGTTTTTGACAAATTTGACAAAGGATGAGAGACATTACGCAATCATAGTGAACATCCAGCGCCTGATACTTGCAGCTCTAAACCATCTAACATCTCGCGCTTGCCATTCTATGCGCTGACTAGTACACTCATGCCAGTCATCGCTGTGCTCGATGCAATATTTTGAAACGGCACCAAGATGCTTAGTGGCCGAGTCGGGCTTCCTGAGAAAGGAGTGTATTGCGTCGCCAAGTGTGCATAAGCTGTGGGACCTGCTTCTTATTATGAAAAGAATGCAAAGGCATTTAATGCCATTGAAAAGTGTGACAGCTATTGATTGTTAGTAGTGCGCTTGGGAAACCCGACTGTGTGAGAGATTCTGTATCGTACCTAGCAAAATTGAAGGAGTACATTGGAGATAGCACAGTGCGGTCAGATCCTTAATAGTACCCTCAGTTTCGACAAGGCAATACCGAATGGAGGATTGGTAATCCCCAAATATCCAGTTGTCAACTGCAGAAGGAGGCACTGAATTGAATGATTTGCAACTATAATTCTGGGTTCCTTGGCACAGCCCTTGATACCCTGAAGGGTCACCTGCTAAGATGGAAACTCCAAAATCTAGGACGGACGAAGAGTTGTCGAACCGTTTAACAGGATCAGAAGATATGAGAATGGTATTTGGTCGCCAGGTGAGACCATTCATTGACCGCTTAATACATTCATAATTCGAGACATTGGCATATGTGGACGGGTTACTGATGTAGTTGTTGTGGATGAAAGAGACGAGGGTAAAGTAATGAGTAGTTCCTGCTGTCTCGTTCCATTCCAAAGTTCCATTTTGGATAGTGCTGTATCCGTTCAATGTACTGTTGTCCCAGTGGACATCGTTAAGATATGACTCGTGTGCAACGACCCAAGCGGTGATATTGCTCGTTGTACTCGAAAAAACCACAGAGTTGTACCTTGGGTCTAGTTAGTCGAGGCTACCAAAGGGAACCACTCCGGTACTCACAAAAAATGTATAGGAACAGAGCTAGCAACCAAACAAACCCATATAGAGAGATTCCATCTCGAAATATGCCTTAAGTTCCGAAAGCTGGGCACACCAATATCCAACCATATCCCTTTTGCGTGGGCAGCATCTACTTCTTCTCTCGTTGGTGCTACCACCAACTGGAGGGAAAGATTGGAAGCTCCAAGTAAAAGGCTACTCAAAATGTTGATGAGTACATGTAATGCAGTATCATATTTTGCCACAAGAGCACAATCCTCATGAGCGATAGTTGCCACGCCGTTTGCGATTGTCCCAAGGCGAGTCCACGCCAATAAGCTTAGAATCAAATTCGTAGCGAAAACCAGGAATGCGAGCGTGAAGCATGTCCACAATACCACCGTCCTTCGCTTTCGTTTTGTGCGAAAAGTTATAGCATGAGTCTCGTCCTCGATGACCTTCGGAAACCAGGGTGCAAGAAGCTCGACCGTTCCGAATGGAGGCAACGGAAGCTTAATCTCTTTCCCGTCTGCTTTACCATTCTCAGAGAAGATCACGGTCGATGTGCCATTGGGAGGAGCAGACGTTGCCACCCCATTAGTGTCATCTTTACTTGGTGAGACTGCCACCGGAACGACGTTGATGGAGATAAGGCTGGCAGCCCTCTCCGCAGTATTTTGGGTAGCCATACGGCAGGTCTGATCGGAGCTTTAACAATGATGATCAAGACTGTGGTGTACCCATCGATTGATCGTGATACAAAATATAAGCTACTAACCAACAAGCAGCGACAAACTTTTGCGAACAGCGATAGAGGAAAGATGCAATTGAAAATGGCAGAAATCTGCCAAAGTTGTCAGGATTTTGGAAAAAGCAATACCTAGCATTAGTGCAAACTGGTGCCGAATAACACGTCGCGCCCAGAAAGGGAGGAGAATGGCAGGCTCTACAGCCATCCATTGGACTCACCCAAATGAGGCTGCAGGATTGATTGGCAAGGCCCCCATTAATACAATATGATAAGAGTTGAAAATGGCTTTTCGACCGGTCGTGGGAATTATCACCGGCAAACAGTGCGCTTTGGAAGTTAGCCGGCATTCCCAGGATCGGCTATTTACTCGATGCAGCTCCGTTTTTCATACTTTTACTAGATACAGCCACCTTTTTACGTATTTATTAGATGCAGCTAGATATTATTTAAAAATAAAAATATACTAAATTTTATCTTCATTTTATTAAATATACTAAACCGCATTTTTATATAATTTTATATTATAAAATACTAGAAATCTAATTATTTAAGCCAGAAGCTAGAGAATTAAATAGAAAGCCTATTTGAGATTCTAGAAAAGTATAGCTATTTGTTTTTTCTAAAGCTACTAAAAACTATAAAAATATATCTAGTTTTCTATATAAAGAAGCTATAAAAGAACTCTTAGAATTCTTTATTAGGTTAAGTAAATTCGTAACTATTTCTATTAGTACTAGCTTCAATAATAATAATAATAATAATAATAATAATAATAATAATAATATATTAGGATTTCTATAAAACCTATAATATTAACTAGATTATATAAAAAATAATAATAAATTCTCCTAAGTTATATATTAAAAGTACTTGCTTTTTATATATAATATTTATATTCGAGATATTAGTTTATTTCGGAAAGGAAAATAGTATAAAATTAGATAGATTAATAGCTTTTCTAAAGCTTAAAAACAAGTTTATTCCGAAAAAGAAAATAATATTATAATTTATTAAATATTCAAGTATTTAAATACTCAAATATCTTTTAAATATATATAATATAGCTATTTTATTAAGAAAACATACTTGAAATATATTAAAGATATTTAGAAAACTAAGTTCCTTAGGGACTAGTATACTATAGAATATATATACTTTTTTATAGCCTTTTATATTCTAGTTTTCTTTTCCTTAGCTTTGAATTATCTTTATAAAAGACCTTTTATTTTACTTTCCAAGCCCTAAATACTATATTTATAATAATAAAATACTAATTAATAATATTTAATATATTATAATTATTTATAATTAAGTAATTATATTAAATAAAAAGAAATATTTCTTATTAAATATGTTTTCTAATAAAAAATACAAAATAAATAATAATTATAAAAATTAGTATTATTTTAATTTATTTTTAAGATTTATATAAACTACTAATTAACTTATTTTAGCTTTTTATTAAAGACTTTTACTAGTTATTATATATAGTAAATAAGATATATTAACTCTTTTTTATAAAATGCCTTTAATTAATATTTATAATTTTTAAATAATAGTAAGTAATTATATATTTTTTAGTTTTTAAATAAAATAAATTATAAATTATAAATTATTATAATTTTTTATTTAGTATTAATTAATATAAGTAAGTAAAATAATTAATTAATCTTAATAAAGTTTTCTTTTAGTTCTTTAACTAGCTTTATTAATATTTTTTAATATTTTTTAAAGAGAAATTAAGGTTTATTTTAATAATAAAATTAGTATTATAAATAATATATTTCTTTTTTATTAGTTCTTTTATAAATATAAAAGTATAATAAATTATATGTATTTATTAAAAGATATAATATATAGTTTATAAATAATTTAGCTTTTATTTAATAGTATTTTTATTAAATTTATTTTTCGTTTTTAAGAATTAAATAATTAGAAAATAAGTTATAAGAAATAAAGATATAAAATTTAATTATAATAATAATTAATTAATTAATTAAAGTATTACTTTTAAATATTTCTATTATATTTTATATTTCAAATAGCTTTTTATATTATTTATTAATATAAATAAATAAGATATATATTTAAGTAAAAGAGCTCTTTTATTAAAAATACTTATATAAAAGCCTCGAATAAAATAAGTAAAAATAATAACTAATCTTGCTTATATATAAAATTATTATATAAATACGAGTACTAGAAAGCTTAGCTTTATTTATTTAATAGCCCCTTTTACTTAGCTAGATCCAGAGGCTTCTTTTAGAGCTTTTTTTTAATTAGATAACTATTTATATAAATTAAAGTATAAAGTTTAAATATATATGAAATAATTATAATTAATATTAAAATTTATTAAAATTAAATAAAAACCTAGATTAAAAAAGAACTATAAGTAATAAATAAGCAGAATTCTTTATTAAATTTATTTTTTAGTTTCATATTACTTTATTTCGAGATTTTAATTATAATATTTACTTTTTATATTTAAAAGAATATTTAATTATATACTTTCTTATAAATATATTAAGAGGTTTACTAATAATAATATTTGAAGAAAAGAAAACTAATTAAATAAAAAATAAAAAAATAACTTTAAATAATTAAAAATATATATATAAGTAAATAAAGCTTTATATAAATTTAAAAAAATTCAAATTTTAATATAAGAAATCTTTTAAATATTTCTAAATTTATATATATTTATAAATACTTTTTATAAAGCAATTTTTTATATAAATAATATATAAATAATATATTATTAAAGTATTATTTTCTTATTTCTTTCTTGATTTTAATTTTAGATTTTAATTATTAAATATAATAAAAAAGTAAAGAATATTAGTTTAATAATTATATTTAATATATTATATTATATTATTAGTTAAAAGTATTTTATTAAAACTAAACTATAAATTAATAATATAATAATTAGAAATTAAATTACTTAATTTTATTATATTTATCTTAATTTCATGTTCTTTATTTAATTAATAATTTAATTATAATTACCTTATATAAAACTTATAGAATTATAATATAATTTTTAATTAATTCTTTTAAGTATATAATAATTTAAATAAAGTAATTAGAGGCTAAAAACAAGCTATATATATTTTATTAAAATAATTATTCTTTTTCTACTTATATTATATAAAGTAAATAGCTAAAGCTAGCTTAATATTAATAATATATCTGGTTTTTATTATAATCTTAAATTTGTATTTTATAATTATTTAGCTTAATAATTTATTTTATTATATAATTATATTAATTTTTTATAAATTTTTTAATTAATTTTATTAAAAGTAATTACTTTATTATATTAAACTATTTCCAGAATTACTAATAATCTAATAAATATTAATAAACTTTAATTAAATTCAATAATTAATACTCTTATAATAATTAAACTTATAATAACTAAGCTTATAATAATTAAGCTTATAATAATTCTAATATAAATATTAAATTAAATAATTTTAATAATTTTAAAAGTGGCTAATATTAAATACTAGTTTTAATTATATATAAAAGGCAAATATTATAGCTTGCTTATAAAAATAAAGTTCTTTTTTTTAATTTTATTTATTTATTTCTTTAATTATATTTTTATAATATATAAATATTTGAAATCGAGCTTTTATAAAGAAATGAATAATATAATAACTATTATTATATAATTACTATAAATTAATTTTATTAGTATTATTAATAATTTTAATTTTATTTACTTATTTATTATTTTATTTTATTTATTTATTTTTCTTCTTTATTTTAAATTTTATAAAATATGAAATAAAAGTCTTTAGCTTTATTTAATTACTTTAGTTTTACTATTATAATTATCTTAATAAATCTAATTTTTATAATTTATAAATTAAAGTAAAAATAGTTTTAATAAATATAATATACTTTAAATATAAAAATAAAATTAATATAAATTAAGATATTTCTAATTTAAAACATATAATTTAATAAAAGATTTATATATTTTTATAATTAAGCTAATCTTAATATAAGAAATAAAATAAAATAAAATAAAATAAAGTAACAAGTATTATTTTATATTTTTTTATTAAAATATATTAATTACTTATATTTTACTTTATTTATTAAATTTTATTTATTACTTATACTATATTTTAAATATATAAATTTAATACTTTATATATTTGGCCTTATATTTTATATAATTTAATATATAAAAGAGATTTACTTTTTTTTATAAAACTTAATATAAATAGCTTATATGTTTTCATACTTTTCATATTTTATTAAAGAATTATTTTAATTATATAAAAACTAATTGCTTGTATTTATAAATATTTATAAATATTCAGCTACTTTTAAGTGTTTATTCTAGACCTGTCATTTCTAGTTAAAACGAAAAAAACGCTTCCCCGGCGCCGTTTCTATTAGGACAATACAGCTTCACAAGTTATAACGCAGAGTAGGGAAGTTTTGAAGAGCAGATCATTCCAATACAAGATACTAGAATAATTAGTTTCATTCTAGACTTCTCATTTCAGTTCCCATGCTCAAAGTTCCATGCTTAATCAATACAGGTTACGCCTCATGTCTGCTTCCGATGACCCCATCCCCATTTTCTTGTGGTTCCAGGGTCCTCTTTAGTCATTGATTCTTCCTTGTAGATACCAAGAGAGAAGTGGTCACAGTTATCTGCTGAGGCTCTTCTCCATGCCAGGTGCAGCAGAAATTGGCCCCTGCTTATGAGCCAATTGCGGGATCCTCTGCCTCATCATCTGGAACCTTATGCAAAACAAACCTCTCTTCTTCTTTGTGCTTCTTAAGCTTCATCCTAATTATGTTCTCCTCCTTCCCCACCTTCTTAATATTTGTTAAATGATACTTCTCCGTCCCCCTTTCGTCCCCTTTAAACACACCAGTCGGATCTGTCAGTAAAAGCGCTAAGTTTCCATCCATTACCAGATTTCGTTTACGATCGGACATCAGTACGGCCAACGGCACCACACTGGCCGTCATCAACAAACTAATCCCCAACCACAAGTAGACCCTCCACTTCGTCACCGTAGCTTGGACGCGGGTGTCCTCTATGCGAGCCACGAGGGAGATACTATTCACGTCGAAAGACCGCTGCAGCATATCCCACGCTCCTTGATAAGAATATCGGATGAGATTCTCGGTGTAGTTTTCAAGGTTGAGCCATGTAGACAGTGAGGTGGAGTTCATGACTGCTACCATGCTCATTACGTCGGGGAGCAGATAGAGTGCCTCGTGCACCCATGGCGCTTCTGTGATATCCCTGTCCTGTATTGAGGGATTGCTCTCCACCACGGAGTTGGAGATGTACGTGCTGTTTGGAGAGAGAATGACGCCGGCGGTGAAATTGATGGTTAGGTAGGTGAAATCTAATTGCTCCAGCGAACTCAGAGTGGAGAAATTATTCGCTGGTAAGGCATAACCGAAGCCATCTGTGAAGAATGGTGCATCGACGTAGTGCTTCCCTAAGAGAACGATAGCCGTCATCTCCCCGGAGAAGCGGAAAGCGGTGGGGTAGATCGGATTGCTAAGGTCGATGAAGTCGGAGTTGTAAAGACTGTCATTGTAAGGGAGCTGCAGCGTGGTGTTAGACTGGTCAAAGATGACTGCGTTCCCGGGGTAATTGACGAACGAAAAGGCTGTTGTGCCAGTGATGGATACTTGGTCTGAGGTGTCGGCGACATTTTGGACTAGGCTGGGTACGGGAGCTGTAGGCCAAGTGATGCTGTTTACCACGATACATGGCATCGTTACATTGTCGAGCTGAGACATGATCGGGACCTGTTCATCGTTAACAACATGCCGGCAACTAGTCTGCACGGCTCCTGAGCTTCCATTCGTCGCTGTTGCCCAAGCCAGATTCGCCATTCCCGCCGCTCGCTGAACCGCCGCCTGGCGATCTTGGAGCTTTGATCCGTACCAGCCCCAGAGCGTATAGTCTGCCTCCGGATTCGCTGACGCTACCGTGACAGTGCCCACTTCTTCCAACGCCGAGCCCCAGTTCACGGCGCCGTTGATGATGGGGTCGATGTACTGCTGCGGGAAGGTGAGGAGGAGTATCAAGCATACAATCCCGCTTGAGCCGCTGAGTCGGAGCAGGGGGGCTTTCCATGTCATGATCCTTGTAAACCTGGAGATGGTAAGGCCTGGATCCTCGAGCAAGGCGAACACGCATTGCGTTGTAACGGTCGCGGACCAACTGGAGAGGATAAGGCCGATGATAGTAGTGCCGGCGGAGATTAAGGTCGAGACATCGCCGGACCGCAGTGTGAATTTGCCGTTTGTGTATCGTGGGGTTTTGGTGCCGTCTAGGGCTTTGTAGCCATCGACACCATAGATCATGGCGATGACGAGGGCGATGCAGCAGAGGAAATGCAGGACGAGCATGTACCATGCCGTGATTATTGGCCAAGGTTTTATTGGCTTAGTCTTTTTGTAGACTGCGAAGGCGGTGGTTGCTGCGTCTATTTTCTCCTCGTTGCTTGACATCTTGATTAACGCTTTCGGAGATTATCCAAAAATCTGATCTTGGTTTGGAAGTGCCAGCAAAGAATGAAGATCTTGACAGAACGTAAATTGTGAGGCTTGAAACCAGAAAAAACGGCGGAAGGGTCTCCATATCTCTCACCTTAAGCCTGATGGCCGTGGAGTTCTGACCGCTGGCATCGGAGCGATCATCACTTTGGGTGCGTTGGCTTCCCCATTCCAGCCGTCCTGCATAGCATCTTTGCAAGTGGGTTAGAATAAACTATGTGCCCAGTAATAGTCGGTTGTAGGCGAGAGCATGTAGAAGGGCGACGACTATTATGTGCCTTGATTGGTTATGCAGGATCCTGCAGCTTTCAGCTTTCAGCCACCCTAAGACCACGTGCAGCAGTTCTCGAAACCTCCACGCACATTGGTTACATAAGGTACAGCTAAACGCAGGGAGCTGCAGTAGTGGAGAACTAATATTAGGAAAGTGCGAGACAAAGAATTTGCAGACACGCTTCAGAGATATAGTCGGAGTATTCAGCTGTGATATATGAGAGCCGCTCTTATAGTTTGAGACAAAAAGCTCATCTGCACTTTCATATTCCCCCGCCCCCCTCTCTCCCCTAATAGGGTGGGCTCCAATAAATTTCGCCGACAATAATCGATTACTGATTGCTATTGCGGTAATTAATTAATAGTCAATAATTACTAATAAGTAATTAATAAAAGTAGGTCCAGGGTTAGTAATAGTTATAAGACTAATATATTATATTATAAGCCTTATATTACTTTTACTAAAATCGGAATTCTATTATATTTTTTAAAAAAAAAGTAATATAAAGCTTATAAATATAATATATTACTTTTATAGCTATTATTTAGAACTTGAATTTATTATTATTAATTATTAATTAATTAATTACTAAACTTATTAGAATTTATTTTATTTCTTAATAATATATAATTAAATATAAATTAAAATACTATTACTTTTCTTTTATTATATATTTATTACTAAAATATAAAATAATATTCTTTCAAATATTAATTAGAAACTAAATTAATTGAAATTAAAAGATAATTATAAATACTTATATATTATTATTATATATTTTAACTTTAATAATTATTTATAATATAATTAAATTTTCTTATATTCGAATATTAAGGAATTTAAAGCTTAACTTATTAATAAATATTATTATAAAATAATATTATAATAATAATAAAGAAATTAAATTAAACTAAAGTTTATTTATTAAGCTAAATATACTAACTATATATTATATTATATATAATTATTACGGATATAGTATTTAGAGCTTAGAAAATAAAATAGAAAGTTTCTTATAAAAATAATATAAAGCTAAGAAAAAGAAGACTAGAATATAGGAGGCTATAAGAATAAAGTATATATATAATATACTAGTTTCTAAGGGGCCTAGTATTCTAAATATCTCTATATATATTCCTATACTAGCTATTAGATAATTATATTAGGTAACTAGAATATAAAAACCAGAATTATAATAATAATAGTAGTATATAACTAGTGTCATAGAGTGCCCAAGCATCCTAGCGAGCACGTGCGTGCGCGTGGTCCGTGCGCAAGCCCGTAAGGCTTCGCACCTCCCACGACTCACTTGCTTCTTCAAGTTTCAGTCACAATACTACTTTGGATTGCTCCCTGACTTGCTGCCCTTTTGGTGACCACTATTACAACTAGTATTATATAATAATAAAGCTATTTAATAATTTAATAATATATTAATATATTAATATATAAGAAATAAATATTATAATTATAATTATTTCCTATAAATTTAATATATTTATATTTAAAACTATAATTAGTTTCTTATAAATAATAATAATCCTCTTTTATATTATTCTATATTCGAATTACCCTAAGTAGTTAGCTCCTAGTATATCTTGAAAAAAGCTAGTTATATAAGAAATACCAGAATCTTTTCCTTCTAGGGAATTATATATAAGAATATAATTATATTCAAATCCTTAGAGCTAAGCTTAAGATAAGAAAAGAGAAACTCAAGTACCTTTTTTTATATTTTAGTAGTTCTGGAATATAAAGGGCTTTTATTATAATTTTTTAATACTCAGGAGAAATAGAATAAGGGGAATTCTTAAGCCTCTAGCTAGCTTTCGGGCTTCCTAAAAAAATGCAGGTTATATAAGAAATACTAAAAAAAAAAATACTGGCCCTTACTTTACTTTTCTCTTCTTTTTCTCTTTATTACTTTTACTTTTACTACTTTTTCTTTTACTTATATATAGATCTTCTCTACTTTTATATTATTTATAGGCAAAACTAGCCTGCTTCTAACTTTATTATAGAATAAGGCAAGTAATATAAAACTTATAATTATTATTAAGTTTATATTTTCTTTTTTTCTGACTTAACTAACTTATTAATAAGCCTAAAATACTACTAATTATATTTAGTAATATCCTGCCTTATAAGAACTTAATTCAAATATTCTTTCTATTTCCCGGTAATAATAATAGTCTATTATAGATATCTCTATAAACAAGCCAGTCCTATAATACTAGTAACGGATCCGTTAATTATTTATTATAGCTCTAGTTAATATCTTAGAGAATCCTCTTATAAATTTATTTATTATATAGCCTTCTAGCTTTCTCTTATACTTCCGGCCAGTTCCTATATATATAACGAGTTTATTTACGGGTTACTATATAACTTATAAAGTCCTCTATTTTAGTTATATAAATAATTATTTTAAGGCCTATTATAAAAAGAATAATATAATATTTCTTTTAATTTATAAGCCTTCTTTATATCTTTCTTACTTTTTTATAAATAATAATTCGCTTTACTAGGCCTTCCGGGCAAATATCCGGATATATAATTATATTTTTGCTTTTATATTAATTAAGTATAAGAAAAATATATAAATTAACTTCTTTTATAAAATCTAGTACTTTTAGATTTATAATAAACTCTTTTATTTCTAAGGCCTACTATAGCCTGTTTTATATACTAAATTCTTTTTTATATAGCTTTTCTTTTATAATTTGCTTTTTATAACTAATATATAAGCTATTAATTTCTCTTATTTAAATTATATAGTTCTTTTATAGTTTATAAATATACTTATAAATTATAATTCGTTTATTATAGTTTATAAAACAGCTCATAAATATCTTATAAGCTAATAAACCAATTTCTGAATTTTACTTAACTTATAAATATACTTAATTTTCGAATTAAATACTAATTATTATTATAAGAATCTTCTAATAAATAATAAGGTTATAGTCTTTATTCCGAATAAGTATATAAATATAAGCCGCTATAATCTAGTATTTATAGTTATAAGACTATAATAAAACCTATTAGTAAATATAACTTAAATAATAAGTCTTTTATTAGTACTATTTCTATATTTATCTAGTTTTCTTTTTCTTTTTTTATACTAGTTACCTTTTTTAATAATATATTATTAATATATATATTATTTATAAGACTACTTTACTTAACTAGCTTTATTTATACTAATAGAATATTTATATAAATAATATTAGCTATTATTTTATTTTTCTATTAAGCTTTATAAATAGTAATTACTTTATATAATAGCTATTATATAGTACTTTAATAAGCCAAGCTTTTTTATTACTTTTATAGCTAACCTATACTAGCCTAAGATTATAAATTATTTTTTAAATAAATAATAAGTAATTAATTATCCGGATTTCTTTTACCGGATCTTTATTTTAAAAATGTAAAAGCTTTTTATAGATCTTAAGAACTACTTTTTCGAATAGTATATAAACTATATTTATATAATTAAATACTAGAAATATAGCCTCTTATATATATATTTACTTTTATTTTTTTAGAAAAGATATTATTTTCTTAATTTCTAATTTAGTTAATAAGATTATTTATATTAAGCTTCTAGACCTATTACAGAATTCTATAAGTAAACTTATAGCTATAATTACTAGCTAGATATTTTATAAGCTATATAGCCTTAATAATAATTCAAAAGCCCTATATATAATTTATAAGATACCTATAGCCTTATTTATATACTAGAAAAGATTTCTTAAAACATTTGCGGCTATAATAATTATTTATAAAAATAAGTATTCCGAATACTAATACTAGAATAATAGTTATATATTTATAGTTTATAAATTAGGCTTTCTAAACCAGGAAATTTTCTATAATAATTATTAGATTACTTTATATAACTTGTATTTTCTCTAGAAGTTTTATTTATATATTAATATTAAGATTTATATATTTATATAAGTAATTAAATATATTTATAAGAGAATAAATTATATAACTATTATTATTTCAAGAATAAATAATAAGATTATCTAGTATCTTTAGGCTCGATATATAGGCCTTATAAAGGCTTTCTAATATCTATTTAAATACCTAATATACTAGAAATTCTCTCTAGTTTAATATCTTATAATTTATTTCTTTAAATAATATATAATCTGTTTTATAGCTAATATTATAATTATTATAATATACGGTACTAGTAGGAGTTAGACTAGAGCTAGTAAAGCATCTGGTATTTAAAAGAGGCATCTAGTATCTAAATAAAGCATTTATAGTTATCTGATTATTATATATAATTCCGAGCTTAAGCTAGTATATAGGCCTATATATAGCTTGTAATTATTTAGATCCGAGGCTTCTTTAAGATCCTCTTCTCTCTTTAGCTTTAAATTATTAAAATAGAGATAGTCTAACTATATTTTCTAGGCCCTAGATCTTATACTTATAATATAATTCAAAGCTTATCTACTTCTTAATCCTATAGAGGATTTAAATAATACCTACCCGATTAGTTTTTAATAAGTACAAATATAATATATTATAACTACTCCTATACTAGTTAACTAATATTAGAATAAAA